AAAAAAAAAAAAAAAAAAAAAAAACAGGAAAATATGGTTTGGTATGAGTAAATTCCAAAACAAATTTGTGTATATAGAATTTAAGCATTTCTTTTAGTAGAGGCAGATTTATAATTACCAAAAATAATTTCTTTAAAATTAACAGAAACGTCTTGCTATATATTATCATTAATAAATGAGCCAATACGTTTTCAAAATTGGACAGCATAATTATAATTCCAAAATAAATGAAAATCAGTTTCAGTATGAAATTGACAAAATGAACATTTTACATCAACAGGGTGCGATAGTATGCTAAAGGACTTTTAGTTTGTCAGTAACCTGGGCTAAGCGCTTTCGGTGAACTGTATCCATTACAAAATGGCGCGTTTAAGGTTTGTTTTCTTTAAAATTCAGCTATCTCCATATATGTGTGGTATCCGATATAAAGTGGGTCTCAGATTGTACAAGAAACACTGCATTAAATTACATTTCCCCCTCCATGTCATTAAAATATGAACATTTATTTTACCCTAGTATATTCAATGGAGCTTCTGCGCTAGCCTGCTGATTCTGACGGGCGCGTGCCAGTTAACGGCTTTTTGTCTGGTTTTACGCTTGAGCAACTAAATGAATGCCAAAGTCTATTTAACTGATTGTATTTTAATTACATTACAACATCGATGCTGTAAAAGCAACCTTATAAAATGTAAAAAAGTCACATTAACCGTTAACCGGAAGTTTATCAGTATGGGAAGAAACACTAGCTTCGCATATACCGTATATGAGAATGAAACTTTTAAAAAATTTGTTTAATAGGATAAAATACTTTGATCTTGTTGTTGAAGAAATATTTTTGTTGCAAAGACCATATTTTTTCTAATTTTGTAATTTCTATCTTTTTTATTAGAAAAACTAATTTTATTTAAAAACATCTCTGTCGAATCAGAAAAGTACGCTTTTTTAAGAGGGAGATGATTGCTATTTTTAAAGGTTCACAAAACCCTCTAGTACTTTTTTTTAGATGTTAACAGATTTGTATGTGTTGAGCATCAGTTAAGATAATGTTAGCACCTCTCAGCTTTAATTGTCGGGAAAACTGGATAATTTGGAGTTTTTGTCAGCTTATTTCAGCTTCCGGGTTTAAAATGATTTTTGGGGCGGGATCAAAATTGGCAACGTAGCGCAAAATTGCAAGTGTAAAAAGGCATGGTTTCTCATTATTATTCATAGCTGAGTTTTCTTATCCTATGAGAAGAGCCGGCTGCTTAATTATTCATGACTGGTGCTTTCCGAAGGCAAGAAAGACCTGCCAGTGCCAAGCTGTGAGACACGGACCCATGGCACACAGTATTTAGCTGGTCATGAAGGGTCGTATGTGTTTGTTTCCATGATCCACGGGGGTTGTTGCATGCTTTTTCCCACGATCCTGTCAGGGCCGATACAGCAAAGCTATATGTGTCCTGGAAGCATTTTTTTGGGGAGAGCAGTACGAGAATTGGAGAATGGCGGACGTTGTCTTTTATCAGGAGTTCATTCACATTTAGACACATCGCCGTGCTGCTGTGTTTGCCTAAATCCTCTAGATTTCCAGCAGGGCTAGTGGTTAAAATAGGCAGGGCAAGAGACCTGCGGCACTGTCTGCATTCAAATCTAAGATTTTTACCCAGGGATTTAGGGAAAAGTCCTTATTTATAGTGTTTATATAAACACGATTATCTTTATAATGATATAAATTGTGGTTGTGTGTATGAAATTACGAATAACAAATGTAGCAGGGCATTAAATTACGGTTTATTACTTTGCATTTTAACTTTGTAAACTATAAAATCATGCGTCTCCTCACGATTTGTGTCTCATTTTGTGAGCTAACTGACAACAGTTGTTCGCTCCCCTCCCTGCTGGCCACGCCCGCTCCTGCCCTTCGCTCGCGGAGCTCCACGCCCATTATGATGCATCTTTTGAAAAAATTCTGAGGTAGAAAGCTGGGGGTGTCAGGGCATAGTAATTCCTGATGTTATAGCTCCCATAACAATAACAAAAATTTTTGGACTTACTTGTATGCTATATTCTGAAATAAATTCAAAGTAATTCATGAAAAAAAAACTCTGTTGTTAATTAACTGACTAATGAAAAGCTAACCGATGTTAAAACATTGGCTGAAAAACTTTGGAATTTTGGTTATGCTATAATTACACATCAATAAAAACCTAATGCCTCCATCAAAATAAAATACCCGTTTTGGAAAAATATTCCAAATTGAATCTTCCTCATTTAGATTCTGGTTAAGCCAATAAATTTTGAAAGTATAATTTAAAGAGCAGAAATCAATACAGTTAAGACCTCAGTCTCAGGCAAAAAAAAAAAAAAGTTGGGAACCACTGCTGTAAAGCATAACTTAGTGTATTTTCTTGAAATACATACTCTGCAACGATAGAGATTTTGATAACCGCTTGTGAAGGCTATTTGATTTGTTTACACTCTGTCTTGGTTATATTGTGTGGTGTAGAGACTTGCGCTTCAGTTAAGAGTCCATAATTCCAGCCTATTCCAGCTTCTGTTGCTACATCATGTACAAGGTAATCAATAGTAAAGACTGAATTTTATTTTTTGTTCTACTACAAGCTTGGTTAGCCTATCTTTGAATGGACAAGTTCTTGCAGTAGTGCCAAAAAAAGGAACTGTTCTGGGAAAATTGGCACATCTGATCCCCCTTATGGGTGGCTGAAACCGGTCTATTCGTTATTCTGATTTATGCTACACAGCCACTTCGAGCCACAGTTTAGCCCTGGAGTCAGTGTTTTTGAAAAGCAGCAAACATAAAGGAATGCTTCACATCACGGATGAGAGAAAGCATAACGCAAAGAGGTGTTTCCCACGTTATAGCGCCAACTAATTCTTCAGCCAATCAAGGGCCCCCTTCTTCTGTAGGCCCTGGGGCTTCAGCACCCCCTAAAACTTATGTTAATCCGGCCCTGATTAAATCAACGTTAAAAGTCATCATTGATTTTTAGCCAGTTTTGCACCCATAAATAATGTTAATTCAATGATGATAGATAGATCAAAATGGTCACAAAATCAGCATTTATTCAACCAAAATTAAATCACACGAAATTTACACTGAAACCAACATTGAATAAATGTCAACCAAACCATTGTTAAATTAATGTTGAAATTTAGAAAGTTGATTATTTGCCAGTATATTGCAACTTGAAATAATGTTAATTCAATGATGATAAATAGATAAAAATGGTCACAAAATCAACATTTATTCAACCAAAATTAAACTACTATTTACACTGAAACCAACATTGAATAATTATTAAAACATTAACCAAACTATCATACAATTAATGTTGAAATTTAAAGTATCTGATTTAAGATTTTTAGCCAGTTTTGCACCCTGAAGTAATGTACAGTGATGCTAAATAGAAATAAACAGTCACAAAGTCAGCATTTATTCAACTAAAATTAAAACAATATTTACATGAGAAAAAACACTGAAACATCAGTTCAGTCCTGCTTTAAGTGCAGTATGAGTTTATGAAAGTTGCCTCCTTTCAATCAGAGACCACTGGGCTGAAAAAAGGAAAACTGAAGTATATAACTTTACATTGTAAAAAAAATGTTTAACTCGAATTGTAAAAATTTGTTCATTTTTCAGTTTGTTTTACCTACAGTATTTAGAAAAGTTCAGCTAACTAAACCAATAAGTTCAGCAAACTTGTGAAGAAAAAAAGTGAGGTTTTTGAAAAAAACTTATCCAACTTTTTGGATTCTGTTAAAAAAAATGTTAGTTGAACTTTTGTAAATAAATAAAACTCTACATAATCCACACAATAATTAACAAAGTTGTTAATGTGGAGTAAAAAATAATACATTTTTTCAATTAAGGAAACAAAATATTATTTGTACATGTTGAAGTCAGAATTATTAAACCCCCTTTGAATTTTTCTTTTTTTTATAAATATATATTTCCCAAATAATGTTTAACAGAGCAAGGACATTTTTCACAGTATGTCTGATAATATATTGTCTTCAGGAGAATGTCTTAATTGTTTATTTCAGCTAGAATAAAAGCAGTTTTACATTTTTTAAAAACCATTTCAAGGTCAAAATTATTTGCCTCTTTAAGCTATATATTTTTTCGATACAGGCTTTTCTTTGTACAGAGATTGAGCTGCATAAGAGAGACGAGACTGTACCTTTGTTTTGGCGAGCAAAATTCTTCCTTTAATAGGCAGATCTCTTTGAGGCCAACTATTAAATTATCTCTTTTTGAAATGATTGGATTAAATTTTTGATATTTTTGTTTATTAGTCTCAAAGTTACACTAAAAGAAACTCTATACTACCGACATTAAAAGGTTTGGGATTATATACCATATGTCATTTTTATGTTTGATATAATGTTTAATCCAATTCAACTTAAAAATTGTATTGGAAGTATCAAAATCAAGCACATTCAAACCTCTTGATTATGGATTACATAAAATGAGGTTTGTTTTACATATGAAATGAAACATCCCTGAATATTTTTTTAATAAATGATTTTGATACATCTAATACTTTAGCAAAATACACCAATCGTGATAGACCTTCAGTTTTTGACTAAAGAATCCTTCTTTTAAGTGATAAATCCCTCATGAGTCACCTGTCAAATTTCTTGTTAATTTTCATCAAAGGAGGTTGTAAATTCTATTTGACTGATTTATTTATATCATGTTTGACAGTTCTTTACAAATGTCAATGCCAAGGTAAGTTACTTCTTCTCTGATTGGAATACCTTCAAATTCAGTAAAAGGATTTTTTTTGTCTTTAAGTAGCAATAGGGTACTTTTTTTACATTTAATGATAATCCTGATATAGACAAAATATAAAGGCATTCTATAACTTTTCTAACTTGTGAAATATTTTTAAAATAGCTGGGACTGTAATTCCCGTCATGTAAACACATCATTTCCATTTAAATGTGTCAGAGTGGGCGAGAGCACTATATGTAAATCTCGCGAGAGTTTCGTTTACCTCATCGCGATTCGCGAAGTTTTGATCTTTAGGCTGTTCTCAGCTTTACAAAATGAAGATAATAAAGTGTCGTTTTTGTATGGGAGAAGAACGTGCAGCAGAGGACACAGATCATGTAGAGGTTTGGAGTTATACATATTAGCAGCGGCAGCTGTTTTCACCATTAAAGAGTGAGAGGTTTGTTTACGTGAGCTAGCTGGCTAACGTTAGCACTGCTAACATGGTTCATTTACAAAATTTACCTTTAAATTAACATTACGTTGCTCGCTAACTTATTAAAGACAAGTTTTAATTAAATAAGGTTTTGCTTACCAGTAATCATCTTTACCGCAGTTATAGCGTAGTTATACCACTATATAACAACCGTGGTTATTACGTTTGGTTAAAAGCTTGTTGTTTTTCAGTGTAACTGTTAATGGCATTTTTATACACCGATATGTTATGATAGACAATTTATCATTCATCACTGCTGTTCTGTATCGGATTAGTTATAGAAAAGTGTAAATCACACTGGCCGAAATTAATGTTAAAGGTTAATGTATCTTTATTAAATACTGTGCTGCATTTATGTACTTAATACTACGTTAAATTAAACACAAATTCATATCATGTCAGTATTTCCAAAACCAATGCCACAAATGTACACAAACCTCTAACTTATAGTGATGAAATTGTTTTGGCGATGAATTGCATGAAGATGTGTGTGAATGTGGTGGTGTAATGTGACCTGGACACTTTATTTTGAAATTTATTGAGTGTGTTTTATTAACTGATGCTTTGCTTGTAGAAAATCTTACCACCCGGCTACAGTCATCTATTGTGTCGTCATGAATTGCTGGAAAAGTTAGAGGACATGGAAAATTTTCGAGCATCGCTTAAATTGCAGATGACTTCAGAAGAGCAAGTCCAGAAGTGGCTGGAGGACTTCCAAAAGACCTCGGCTTTAACGTGGAGAAAATCCAGGACGTATCCTGACTCTGGCCGCTACAACAAATACAGAGTAGGAAGAAACTGTGTGCAATAGAAAGTAGTGCTGCACAATATATCGGTTTAGCATGGATAACATAATGTGTGCAATTTGATTGTTATATTTCATACTTGATTCACTCCCCTACAAAATCATCCCGGTCAATCTAAGAAAATGATTTCTTTCCAACTAGAGCTATTCATCTTGCGAAATTATATTCACAACGCAATTTACAGCTAAAGTCAAGATTATTAGCCCTCCTATAATTATTATTTCCTAAAGGATGTTTAACAGAGCAAGAAGTTTTTCACAGTATTTCCAATAATATTTGATTTTTCTGGAGAAAGTCTTATTCGTTTTATTTTAGCTAGAATAATTTTTTTAATAAACATTTTAATGTCAATATTATTAACCTCTTTAAGCAGTGTTTTTATCATTGTCCACAAAAAAAAACATCATTATACAATAACTTGCTTAATTACCCATAGTTAACCATAGCTAATCATTAACTAATCATCAAGTTATGTCTTTAAATGTCACTTTAAGCCGAATACTAGTATCTTGAATCACATTTAGTAAAATGGTCTGTACTGTCATCATGGCAAACATAAAATAAATCAGTTATTAGAAATTAGTTATTAAAACTGTTATGTTAGAAATGTGTTGACAAAATCTTCTCTCTGTTAAACAAAAATTGTGGAAAAAATAAATAGGGGGCTAATAATTTAGGAGCGCTAACAATTCTTACTTCAGCTGTATATTGCAAAGAGAGAGAAAAATATATAACAATATTGTGCAGCCCTACAATAGAGGAAACATGATATCTAATATGAGTGTTTACTGTCTTAACATTTCTGTGATTCATCATGTATAATAATTTTAGGTACTTATTTACACAAATAAATCAGTGAAAATTTGAAAGCTGTTAGGAACTAGCTCTCCCCAAAATAAAGGTTTGCCATCATTTACTCTTGTCAGTATGAACCCAAAAAGATGTGTGTTCATCTTTGAAACACAAATAACAATATATTTAATCAAGATTCTGAGTGTAACGACGGGGTGGGGTGACAAAGACAACTGGAGGTAAGATCCAATATGCAGGTTTATTCAGCGTCAGGCAAGCAATGTTCAAATCAGGTGTTAACAGGTATATGCAGGCAAATCCAAAATCGTAATCAATATTCAGGCAATAGGTCATAAGGCAGGCGGCTAAACTAGAGAACAAGGGTAAACAAGGCTAGGGTCTAAACACGGAAAAAACAAGACAAGGAGAAGCGCATTGTAATGTCACTTAGTAGTAAACAAGACTCGGCAAACTGGAAGGGTAAAGGAGTGGCTTAGGAATGGTTTGTATCAGTCTCTGACAAGGTTCAGCTGGTGAGTGCAATCAAGCAGATGAATGAGCATGAGTGTCTGGGAGCAGTGCATGTATGAAAATGTAGTCCTGGGAAATGCGGAAGTGTAGTCCTGGTGTTCGTTTGAGAACCAGCGATCTCTGGAAAGCGATCGCTGGTTGTGTGACACTGAGACAGTTACTATTTTAGAAGTGCTATGCTTTAAAATGTTCATCTACAGTGTAAAAAATGTAATGACAAATAGTCAAGAAACATTTTTATGTTGATTTAACTTATTATGCATTTACAGTTATACAAAGTTTCACTTAATATTTTTAGTAAGCTTGATTGAAGTTGAGATGACTAGAAAAGTTAATTTGACCAAACCTGTTTTTGTTTTACAGTGCAGAGATAAAGTCCACCTGGGGTCCGTTTTTCGTATGTAGATTACTCAATTAGCTGGATTTGTTTATTGACGATTTGACACAATTCAAGATTGCTTCGAATAGACATGCACAATATTCAACCATTTTTTGTTTGTTTGTTTTATAAAGGAATAATAATTTATTCAGTCATGTACATGTTCTGACAGCTAGTATGATGATGATTTGATGCTTAGCAGAAACATTTACCTACACCAAAATGCATTTTTGATGCAAAATAATTAAATTCCTAACACCGATTAAAAAGCTAAAATAGGCCTAGGCTACTATAGTAAAGAAAATCCGCTCTAAATGTAAAACTAAATAAATTGTTAAATACTGAAAGTGTAAAGCCTGCAGCCCACAACAAAGGCAGAGAGGTATTGCGTACAGGGCTTTACATGAACTTTTTTGATCACCAGCCACAGTGGCTAGTAGTTTTCCAACGCTACTAGCCGCTCTGCATTTCCACTAGCCACAATTTTGTTGTTGGGAAAATATTTTTATATGCATAAATATGATTTGATACTTAGATTTTGTGTTTTGTCCACATGCCTTCTCATTCATTTCACGTTTTGTGTGTCGTGTATGAGCAAATAGGTCATGGTTTCATAGTGTTATACTGCAAACTGTTTTTTTTATTTCACATGACTTTTCAGAACTCAAAATTAAGGATTTACCAAATTTATCTCTGACCACACCAAACAATAATTATTTCTTAGCCACAAATTTTAAATGTCAAAACAAGCTAAATATAGCTGTATGCTATACTTTTATTTAACAAAAGATTTCTTTAAAAAACCCAAAGAAAAACAATTGACTTTTAAAAATAATTATTGTCATGTATCAAAAATATGCACAGTAATCTGTCCTCGCTAAAGGTCTCTCAGATCACCAGTTAACTACACATAGCCTAAATGGAGAGTTCTCATATTAACCACTTAAACTCTGCTGACCTGGTACCAGGTCCGTGACGTCATCAACTTTCGCTTTCAGATTTAAAGGGCCATGACACCCCCCACTTTCGGTTAAAGTCTACTTCAGAATTTTTTCAAAAGATGCATGATTAATGGGCGTGGAGCTCCGCGAGCATCGGGCAGGAGTGGGCGTGGCCAGCAGGGGAGAAGGGGAGCGAACAAGTGTTGATGTCAGTTAGTTCACAAAATGAGACACAAACCCTGAGGAGACACATGAGTTTATAGTTTACAAAGTTAAAATGCAAAGAAATAAATAGTGATTTAATGTCCTGCTACATTTGTTATTCGTAATTTCATATACACATAACCACAATTTATATCATTATAAAGATAAGTGTGTTCATGTAAACCGTATAAATGGGGACTTCTCCCTCAATCCCCGTATCCAGCAGACCCCGTATGCAGCAGGTCTCCTGACCTGTCTATTTTAACCATTAGCCCTGCTGGTAATCTGGAGGATTTAGGCAAACACAGCAGCACAGTGATGTGTCTGAATGTGAGTGAACTCCTGAACTCCTGAGCTTTTAAATTTGGGTAGGCAAAATCCAGGCGGAAATCCCCAAATAGCAGCAGAGTTTAAGTGGTTAAAGCAATGTTGTTTAGAAAAAAAGATAATTAAACTATATTAACAAGAATAACCATAAGCAAAAGAAAGCAGGCGAAAAACATGTGTGATAATGGAAAGATGATCACACGTTTAAGGCCAATTAATAATCTGTTCAAAGCGAAAGCATCCGGTGCTGCTTACAAAAAGACATATTTGGAGCTCTTGAAAGCAGCAAGCTATTCGACATTAGCAAAACTTTTTTGCCTGATTATTTGAAAGAGAACCGTTCACAGTTGCGTCCCAGGAACGGTTGCTTAAAGGCAAGCAAGGAAACAGGAGAGCGCACGCGCTTTAAACAGTCGCGCGCATCACATCAGCTGTTAGCGCGAGTGATCATCCTCTCTTTCGGTATTCATATGTCAATAAAGAAAAGAACCAATGGGCTGCAGAGTGTCACATGGGCTGGCCCGGTCTGTCTGTCCGGAAAAAAGCATCTTACTTTCAGAGAGTCACAGATCAGAACATCGTCAATTAATAAGGCAGAAAAAAACGACAGGCTGCTAAGCCTTTTATGGGCCGATCAGATCTAAGACGATGATTAGCCCGGCTCAAAAAGTATGTCGGCCCAGCGGGAAACTGCCCGGTCTGCCAGATGGCCAGTCTGCCACTGTATTCATCTGCTTTCTTCTGCTCGCGTGAACGCATTTTTTTTTTTGTTAAGCCTGGTTTATACTTCTGCATCAAGTGACCGGCGTAACCCACGGCGCATGCAACGCGTGTAGCTGTGCATTTATACTTCTGCGCGCTGTCTCTGTCGGTCTGCATTAACACTTCCGAAACGCTAGTTGGCAGTGAGGTGTAAATGTCGAGTTTCTTCGCTGCTTTACAAGTGGCTCAAACTCGCTCATTTTGAGGCAGGAACCGGCGGAGGGGCAACAACTTTAACTATGAGGTAAACACAAAACAAAACTTTCCATCCGGAGCTCCTTAACGGTACTCCACACTTGTAAACAATCGCTCGCGCCATTCGCGCGGCTCTCAGCCCCGCCCAGACTCGTCAGCGCTACCAAGCCGACCAATCACAGAGCTTACGCTACGCGTCGTTGCGACGTGTAGTTACAATTTTTTGAGAGGTGCACGTCAGTGACGCCGACGACCACGGCGAAAGGGCTATGCGTCAGCGCCGTAGCATACGCCGGCGTTTGACGCAGAAGTATAAATCACCCTTTAGTCGTGCTGTTTCTGGATCGTAAGATCACATTTGCACGCATATTGGGTCATTCTTATAGTTGAACCCTGCTTTTAAGCAAACCACAATTTAAAAATTATTTTCAACCTGTCAAAGTGGCTAGTGAGAGTGTCTGTCTAACCCACCAAAGCTGAAATCTACCCACATTTGGCGGGTGTTAATGTTAAGCCCTGATTGCGTATCATATTTAACAAACCGTTTACTACGAATTTGATGTAATCATCTCACATAAATAATTAAATATTACGTGATTGCGTGAGACCAATCGAAGATCAAAACATGACCTCTCTGGACAGAATTTAATAACATGGAGTAGTTGCTTGCTTTTTAAAATGTCTAATCAATCCTTTTTGCCGTACAACAGAATTTCTCATGCACAAACTCTATTGTGACTGCAGCATTATTCCGATAAGAGAACAATGGAGGGTAATGTCTTTAATGGATATTTCACCCAGAAACAAGAAATTCTGAAGAATATTGGGGGGAAAAGCAGCTATTGACATGCATAGTAGTTTTGGGGAAAAAACAACGTCTATGGAAGCCAATGTAAATGCAGTTTTTCTTCCAACATTCTTCAGAATATCTTTTTTTTTTGTGTTCAACAGAAGAAAGAAACTCGAATATCTGTGTAACAAGATGAGGATGAGTAAATGATGACAATTTTAATTTTGGGGTGAACTAACCCTTTGAACTAACAACAAGCCTATTTTCTGCTAAATTAATTTATTATGCATAATCCGCAGGTGGATCTGAGATGCCATCACAAAACATACAGCGCATCATCAAAGACAAGCAAGAACACTAACTGCCCTGCTACTATGTTTCTGATTCTCAAGAGATCTATGCACGAAAGAAAGTCCAGGTGAGACAAAGTTTATGGAATGCATTCGTAATGTTTGTAATATAATTCAACAGTGCTTTCGACCATGAGAGATTCCAGCAGGACATTCAGTCTTGAGTGCTGGACGATATGGGCAAAATTTATATCACAAAATAATTGTACACAACCTAATTTCAGCTGATATGATATAATTCCAATATCTACAGTTGAAGTCAGAATTATTAGCCCCCCTGAATTATTAGCGCGCCTGTTTATTTTTTCCCCAATTTCTGTTTAATGGAGGGAAGATTGTTTCAGCATAATTCTAAGCATAATAGTTTGAATAACTAATTTCTAATTGATTTATTTTCTCTTTGACATGATGACAGTAAATGCTATTTTACTAGATATTTTTCAAGACACTTCTATACAGCTTAAAGTGACATTTAAAGACTTAACTAGGTAATAAGGTGAACTAGGCAGGTTAGAGTAATTAGGCAAGTTATTGTATAACGATGGTTTGTTCTGTAGACTATTGGAAAAACAATTAGCTTAAAGGGGCTAATAATTTTGTCCCAAAAATGGTTTTTAAAAAAATAATAACTGCTTTTTATTCTTATTTTTATTCTCCAGAAGAAAAAATATTATCAGACATACTGTGAAAATTTCCTTGCTCTGTTAAAAATCATTTGGGAAATATTAAAAAAAAAAAAAAATTGAAAAGGGGGCTAATAATTCTGATTTAAACTGTATGTAATATTTAAAAAGCTTTAGAAAAATTGCCAAGAACTCCTATTATGTCTAGACAATTAATTCAAAAATGAATTGGCCAAGTCTTGAAACAACCTCCCATAAAAAAAAAATATATATATATTTTAGTTCACCTTTGATTTGTATTTAGCCTTCATACAAAGAAGAAATGTGAAATAAACAAATAAACCATTAATAAACATAAAAATGCACCCTAAACATAATTTTAATCATCTCCTAAACATCATCGATCAAACGCTATTATTAATAATGAGAATATTATATATGTTCTAAAAAATCAAATCATCGTTATCCAAAAAAAATTTCTTTTGGCCAAATATATTAATTATCATTTTGTGCAGATACAATATCATATGCATGCAAAAATAAGTAGTACACTGTTCTGTTTTTTCACAACTAAGAATCAATGACCATCAGAAAAAAATAGTTATAAAATAACACAGTAAATGTAAAAAAAAAAATAAAATAAATGTATATATACACAACAACAACAAAACTAACTTCAAAAGTAAGAAATAAATAATAATAAACACATAAAAAAATTCTTCATTTCTCCTCTTCTTCAAGATCAATAGTGTCAATATAATTCAACAAAAATTTCCATGTTTTGTAAAAAGATTTTAAAGACCCCCTTAATGAAAACCTAATTTTTTCCAATTTTAAACACACACAAAAAATATTTTATCCATCTGTCATATGGTGGAGATGTTTCAAAGATTTCAGCGCAATGTACAATTACAGTCTGAATTATTTGCCCACTGTATATTTTTGCTTAGCAGAAATAATATTTTCAAAACATTTCTAAATTTTTTAAGTTTGAATAACTAATTTCTAATAACTTTATTCATGTTTTGTTTGCCATATTGACAGTCAGGGCTGGACTGGGGCAAAAAAATCAGCCCTGGCATTTTGGGCCAGTGTGGCCCACTACATTCAATCAAAACGCTCCCCATCTGTGCTCGCCCTTGAATATGTTTACCAACTCCCATTCTATAAAAGCACAAAAGCCATATATAGAAAATATCAGAGTTGACAATTTAAAAACTTAACAAATGTAATTTATTATTATAATAAAATTATAATCCACATCGGAAGTCCATCTTGTGTGTGGCTGTGTGTGTTGAGGGAGCCTACATTAAATAATGAACATAACAAAAACTGCCTGCTGATGCACACAGTTAACGTTGATTAATAAAATAAAGATAAATAAAAAAAGCAATGTGTCAGAGACCCTTAAAAATGTCTGACTCAGCTTAAACAGTTAAAAAAGGGCAACACGTTTGGTCATGTATAATTATAACCATATTGTATAAATGTTATTGTATAAGCCTACATCATGCTGACGATCAAAAACACAATGTCATAATATTACAGGCGATTGTCTTCTGACTGAGTGCATCTTAAAATACATTAATGACATTCCTTATAGAGCTTGAGAAGCATACAGTTCTTTATGATCTATATAATTTGTAAAAAAAAAAAAAAAAAAAAAACTTGCAGGTTAGGGAAACAGCATAAGAGGAAGTTGCCGCAGATTCACTCATTTTCTTGTTGGCTTAGTCCCTTTATTAATCCAGAGTCGCCACAGCGGAATGAACCGCCAACTTATCCAGCAGGTTTTTTACGCAGCGGATGCCCTTCCAGCCGCAACCCATCTCTGGGAAACATCCACACACACATTCACACACACACTACGGACAATTTAGCCTACCCAATTCATCTGTACCACATGTCTTTGGACTGTGGGGGAAACCGGAGAACCCGGAGGAAACCCACGCGAACGCAGGGATAACATTCAAACTCCACACAGAAACGCCAACTGAGCCGAGGATCGACCCAGCGACCTTCTTGCTGTGAGGCGAACGTGCTACCCACTGCGCCACTGCGTTGCCCCTTAGTGCAGATGAAAAGTAAAAAACAGTATAGCCTATTTATATAGACAGATAAAATAGACAGGAATATATTGATCTGTGCAACAGTTGTAGATCCGCTGCGCACTGCAGACGCAAAAATTAAACGCCCACTCGCTGCTTCTGCACTCCATACGCGCACGCGGGGAGAGAAACAGGTGGGACTCTGGTCTATTTTGACAAATACACACTTGACGTTGCATGCTTATGCAGAGGCCAAAATGGAGGTTTGTAATTGGGCCTGCCCAGTGTCAATAAAGAAAAGAACCAATAGGCTGCAGATTATGTTACATATGGGCTGGTTTGTTTGAAAAAGAAGAATCTGACTTTCAGAGCGTCACAGATTGCAGCATCCTTAATTAATTAGGCAGAGAAATGCGTCAGTCTGCCAAGTGTTATAAGATCTTCAGCCCGGCCCAAAAAGTACATCGGCCCAACGGGAAACTGCCCGGTCTGCAAATGGCCAGTCCAACCTTGATGACAGAACATAATATTTGACTAGATATTTTTAAGTTACTACTTAAATAATGATGGTTTGTTCTGTAAACAATTAAAAAAAATATGTTGCTTAAGGGGGCTAATTATATTGACCTTAAAATGGTTTTACAAAAATTAAACACTGCTTTTATTGTAGCCAAAATAAAACAAATAAGACTTTCTCCAGAAGAAAAAATATTATAGGACATACTGTGAAAATCTCTTGCTCTGTTAAACATTATTTGGGAAATATTTTAAAAAGAAAAATATTAATATTAATTATTTAATATTGATTTATTATCTAACAATATTCAGTCTATTTCGCAACTCTGCATTTAAAAACAAACCAAAAACTAAGTTTGTCCTTCCACAGATCAGGTGACCCACACATTGAAGAGGGCTATTTTCTTCATGTGAACTTGAGGAACGAACATAACCACAGGCTGCACACTGCTGAGGTCATGCGGTGGAGAGATGTATCCAACGACACCATCGAAAAGCTTCAACAGCTCTACAAAAGCGGCCACTCGCCTTCATCTGCGCTCAAGACTATCAAATACAACTTGCAGGAAGAGGAAGGCGATAATTATCTCTACGCTATTACAGATCGATCCATCTGCCCAGACATTCAGTTCTGCTACAGGTCAGTCGATTAAGAGGGGTTTAAATTAAAAGATTAGTTAACCAGAAAAATTAAAATCATGTTGTTAATGGACCCTTTTTACATTTCCGGGTTTCTCAGCAGCAGAGGTCATCATATTTGGGTAAACTTAGAACGCAGCGAATGGGAGAGTACAACAAATATGTATTTTTACAATCCTAATTACTGAAATAATACAAGTAAAACTCAACGATAGTGATATGAAGGCTTTCAGAAAAAGGAAAAAATATGTGAAACTGATAATGGCAATCAAAAGAGAGGAAAACATACAATTTACTGTCCTGACCCCATAGATGCTGAATTAAAAACACTTTGCACAGAAATGATAATTAATTTTTTTGTAATTTGATGCAAATATAATATAATGTAATACATATAAATGTTATAGGTGGGCATAGATTTAAAAAAAAATCTAGATTAATCTCACTGTAATCTTGAAATTACTCATTTGCTCATTTGAATTCTGCAGAAGGCATTCAGAATATTTGCGATACCTAAATAATGACTAAATATAAGTCTTTGAGATCTGGTTTCTCAAGCCAGGTGGTGCATTAGACCAGGGGCTCATCTCCTGTTTCCAAAATGCATCACAAACTGCTTGAGAAACTGTTCTACTATGATAATTAGTGATGAAAATTAATGATGTTCAGTAAGATGTACTTGTGTTTACTGTTTATTCAGTTAAACATGAATTTTGAACTGTAGACCTACATAAGCTCCAAACAGCGATTTTTGATTACCTTAATCCGACTAAAGTCAACACTGAACTAAACAGAAATGGAATAAAGACATGTGGAGTATGCAGATATTAGTGGCATTATTGAAGTAAACACAGCAATCAAACTATTACCATCATGTAGGACTTTTCGACTTTTTCCCACAAGATCCACACATGCACCTTCCAGTAAATCACGAAATGCAGAAGTTTTTTTCTTTCCATTTGCCGTGCGTTATTAAATTCCATAAAACTCTCACCAGTCCTTATTCCTTATTTGCGTCTAATACCCCAGTTTGTCACGGGGGCAGGAATGAAATGTTCATGAGTGAAGTGAAATGATTAATGTGAAACTGCTGAACTGCAGTTAAAGTCACCAAAAATTACAGGAAACTCTTACATGAAAGCACTCTACGTAAACACCTTAATTATATTATTGTCTATTAAGGCAAATAACTAGACTACAGATGTCCATGTAAACGCAGTCAGTAGTGTCTTCGAAGTAAGTGAAAGATCCAGAAGGGCATCCTGCTGATTTGATTCACAAGGGCACTTTTTTGTCAGATGGCTCACCGGTTTGATTTTCATTCACTCTCATTCATTTTAAAAAGCACTCAGTGCATTTTATTTGTATATGTTTTACTCGAACTCAGAAACTTTACAGGTGCCTGATAGTTAGATGTGGATGATGTAGAATACGCACAGGTTCGAAGACTTGTTCTCGCCACCTACACTGCAATTCGGTCAGATATACATCCACGCTAAAATATCAAGGTGAAAGTCATCATAGCTTCTGTAGAATAGACCCAGCTCCCAACCCAATTTGAGAATAGATTGATATTTTATTTATCACGCGATAAGAGTCTCGCGTTAACGCAGATAACGGCCCACCGCTAATAAATATACATACATAAAAAGATGCTGATGACCTCTAAACACATCATAATAAGCTTGTAAAAAGGGTCCATTACTCATGCCATTCCAATCCCCTGGAACAGAAAATGAGGTATTTTAGATTAAATTCGAGAGCAACAGTCCATGAAAAAGTAGCAAAAAACTTTTCATGTGATTTAATTGTAATCAAATGAAGCCTAAAGAACACATTTGTTTGCCAAAAAAACAGTAAACAGTTTTGTTTGCCCATATCTTCCATATCAGATCAGGGTGTGTATTTACTATGGGCAATATGATTCTTGCGTAAAACATTAAAATTCATCTTTAAAAATTTGGTTCAAAGTTTGTGCCAAAATCTTTGTAATGTAATGTAGCATGATGTCAATTTTAAAAAGTCAAATATATTGTGATTTTTCTTTAGGATTTACCTAAATATTTTATAAGTCATGCAAGCCCATGTGATGGGATTTTCTTCTTTTTGGCCTTGTATTTTTAGGTTTTCAATATAATAATTCATTCATTTATTTATAAAAATCATACGTTATTTACACAAGTCAGGGAAATTAGACAAATCATTGTACAAGGATGATTTATTCTGTAGACAATCTAAAAAACAATATTGCTTAAGGGGGCTAATATAATATTCACTTTAAAATGGTTTTTAAAAAAATAAAAACTGCTTTTATTCTAGCCAAAATAAAACAAATACGAGCTTCTCCAGAAGAAATAATATTATAGAAAATACTGTGAAAAAGTCCATGCTCTGTTAAACATCATTTGGTAATATATTTGAAAAGAAAAAAGAAAATCACAGGAGAGGCGAACAATTTTGACCTCAACTTAGACATCATAACAGAATGGAATTTTGGAAATGTGTGACCCTAGACCACAAAACCTTATTTTGTACGAGTAATAATTTTGGCTCTTAAAATGTATATTTGGCTATTGATAAAAATATGTTTTTCTTTCATGCCAAAAGTCATTATATTGTTAAGAAAAGATCATGAAGATAATAAGTAAATTTCCTACCATAAATAAATCAAAACTTAATTTTTGATTAGTAATGCGCGTTGCTTGAAACTTAATTTGGACAATATTCTGATTATAGATTTGATCTATATTGATTACAGATGTTTAAATAGTAATGTGTGTGATGTATATATCTAATTTCAAAAAACAATCAACACTTATGGCTGGTTTTCTGGTGCAGGGTCACATATGTATGTTGATTCTATCATATAATGAACCATACTTTTATTATATTTCACTGCAGGTTATATTACAAGCTTTTTCCCAAGTCATTTGCTGAACCAGCAGGTGAGATGATTCTGACAAACCTAGAGTGTATAGATTAACAATTCAGAGTACAGAGTTTTGCCAATTCTATTGTGCTAGCATCAACGTTTAATCCCATGTTTATTTGTTTTTTTTTTTATGAAATATGGATTTCCATTCAGAGAAGGACATTTCAGAAGAGCTTTTTAGACCATTAGAGTTGGAGCAATCATGGGAGACAATGACAGTCACAGGTCAGTTTGCCCCTGTTGAATTAAAATATGAAGAGATATCTATAGTATATAAATATCACAACATTATGCCTTTTATCTGAAACAAGCAGATGGACAAGCCACGTTCAATGAGGAAACGGTGTCTGTTACCACAGTACCAATCATCACCACCACAGGTGAAGTAAACCATTTTCTGACCATCACATCATATCTGTGTATTATTTCTTCATTTTAAGCAACTCCATTGCTAGAGCAAGAAATTTCATTTTTATAATCAGGAAATTCCCTATAAAAGTTCACTTTAAAGGGATAGTTCACCCAAAAAAACGATCATTTACTCTCATTCATGTGGTTTTAACCTTTGAGTTTCTTTTTTCTTCATTAATTTTCTTTTCGGCTTAGTCCCTTTATTAATCCGGTGTCGCCACAGCGGAATAAACGGCTAACTTATCCAGCACGTTTTTTACGCAGTGGATGCCCTTCCAGCCGCAACCCATCTCTGGGAAACATCCACACACTCATTCACTCATACACTACGGACAATTTAGCCTACCCAATTCACCTGTACCGCATGTCTTTGTACTGTGGGGGAAACTGGAGCACCCGGAGGAAACCCACGCCAACGCAGGGAGAACATGCAAACTCTACACAGAAATGCCAACTGATTCAGCTGGGGCTCAAACAGAAACCTTCTTGCTGTAAGGCGGCAGCACTACCTACTGCGCCACTGCGTCGCTGTTTCTGTCTTCTGGTAAACATAAAAAAATATATATTTTGAAGAATGCTGGTTGCTGGCACCCATTGACATCCAAATATGGATTTTTTTGGATGTCAATGTTACTATACAAACAAAATGACTATGGATGCTACCATAATGGATGATACCATTTAATGATAGTTTAAAGAAACTCATGAACAAATGAAGGGTGAGTTATTGATGACAGTATATTCATTTTGGGTGAACTATGCCTTTAAATTAACATAATATTTTGGTTTAATTACATCAACATAATAAATCAAATATATAACAGTGGTCAATGTTCTTATGACTATATTATGTAAGCTGTGTTTTTGAAACCAAGGCTGTATCCAAAAATCGCCCCTTATATCCTTAAAGTGTGCACTATTTGAAGCAGTGGTGTCTGAAACCATAGTGGACATTCTAAAGTGCACTCAATCACTCCCACAGTGCACTGCTATAACAAGTGTACAAACCAATGTAAGTTCAACAGCTTGAGAATACTCATAATGCACTGTGAAAGTTCATGCAACTGACCTCAAATGGACATCCAAAGCAGAATCCTATGGATATAAGTTTCCAAAAAGTGTATTATTTAATTGTTAAATAACGTATTGAAGATTCACTGACAGAGTGAAGCAGCAGCTGTTTTGTTTTGAAGAAAAATCTGGCGTAAAATCTGGAAATACTTGTGCATGTAAGTACTGCGCATGACATGAAGTAACCACAAACACTGTCACCATTTTTATTTTATTTTTTTATCAACCAGCAAAGTGCAAACAATATTATTGTTGTTTAAAACAAAGCTACTCGTACACTTAACAGTGTAGTGTATGAATTTAGCGTCTTTCAAATTTTTAGCTTTTTTTGTATTAAACAGAAATTCTAACTGTTTCACAGACGACATTTAAAGGTTGACAAATTAGATAAATAAATGACCAAACTGCCAAATAGTTCCTGTGATAAGTACAACAGCATTCACCACCAGGAGGCAATATAATCACTTACATAAGAGAAGTTTGCTTTCACAATCCAAAATAAAAAAAAATAATTCAACCTGAGCGCCCAACTGCTCTACCCCTTCCGTTACATTAGCAAAGCTGTGAGCATTGAGTGTTTGAAGTGTTCAACATTCCAAACTACTTTGCTACGATTGAATGTGCACCATCGGGGTGAACTGAAAGAATATTTCATTGTGACTGCACTACTTACACCAGGGCTGTCCAACTTGGTCCTGAGGGGCCGGTGTCCTGCATATTTTAGTTCCAACCCCATATAAACACCCCTGAACCAGCTAACCAAGGTCTTTCTAGGTATACTTGAAACTTCCAGGCAGGTGTGTTGAAGGAAGTTGGAGCTAAACTATGCAGGACACCAGCCCTCCGGAACTGAGTTTGAACACCCCTGACTGGAAATGGCATGGAATAGTGCAGGGGTGACCAACCATGTTCCTGGAGAGCCACCTTCCTGCAGATTTCAGTTGCTACCCATATCAAACACACCTGAACCAATTAATTAGGACCTGAACACCACGTGATAATTACAGGCAGGTGTGTTTGATATGGGTAGCAACTGAAATCTGCAGGAAGGTGGCTCTCCAGGAACAGGGTTAGCCACCCCTGGAATAGTGGATTAGTGGGGCATCATGGTGGCGCAGTGGGGAGCACGATCGCCTCACAGCAAAAAGGTCGGTGATTCGAGCCTCGGTTGGTTCAGTTGGCTCTTCTGTGTGGAGTTTGCATGTTCTCCCCGTGTTACAATTATAACAATATCAACAGCAACGCTCATGCACAATATGTAGCTGAATCAGTCATGGCTTTGTGACATAAAAAGCGCACCATATTTCTTTTTTTTTAGACAACAAAACAACAGACTAGGAATGCTAAAAAAAACCGCTTATCAGTTAAACGATTAAAAAAAATTATTTTATATATTTTAAATGTTTGGCTGCATAAGGGACTGATCACAGTGAATGCACTTTTTGCATTGAATATGGCATTTTTTGATTGGTTTATTAACGGCCGTGAGTGTTTATGGACCCTGCACGCTTCACGTTATGCTGTTGCACGCTGTGTGCTCGCAGTTGAAACAAAACTCAACCCTGAGCGCAAAAGCACATTATGTCAGTTGCGACTTTTTCATTCCTTTTGTTGAGGTGCCGGCAGTGTTTGTGTTGTCAGGACGACGGATAACTTTTAATGATGGAGGAGAGACTTGTGGTCGCAGTTTCAAGTTATCCAGTGCTGTATTACTTTACAAATCATGAATATCACAATGTTATTATATATTACAATTATAACAACATGGACAGCAACACTTGCGCACAATAGACCGGCTGATTCAGTCGTTTCTAATAGTGACATAATAAGAGCACCAGTGCAGTGCGGTGCGCCTCGCATATTTTTTAAACGGAAAAGCATAATCAGGCCCCTGATGTGCAACAAATATCTGTTAACTTGGAGGATGGTAACACTTGCGACCACACATGCTCACATATATATTTTGTCAAAGAAGCAAAATGAATAAAGGATATTTCTGGTCACAGTTTGGCACAGACGAGTTGACACAAACCAGCGCTGATGCTGATTGCGTCTGTGCTGCCTAGAGCCGCGTCATAAATTTAACAAATAGGCTATTGATGATTTAGCCGGTAGAGCTTGCGCTGAGCGGAGCTCTCAGTAAGGGACCGTCGGAGAAGTGCTTCTTTTTCTTCGTTTTATTTTTTCCTTTTTTTTTGCTCTGTCCTGCGTGTTTTATTTTAAACACAAGAATTTTCTCTTAAATGAGCACAAACAGTTACTAAAGTAGTCGAATGATTCATTATATATCTGTGCATTTTTACATTAACTCATCTGTTATCAAACAAAACACAATGAGAGATTCATTTGCTGCTCTTCACATAACTATAGTAACTTTAATCAATATGCAAATACAATTAAAAGTGAAATAGATTTTGTAGCTTTATTTATTTTCTGTATAGACCATTGATTTTAATTGGCCAAACCTTTTATTTTATTGTCAGTATTTTCTAATGTTTGCTATGTATTTTATCATTTGAAGCTATTTGTTGTCCCATTATTTTTTACATCCCAACGTTGACAGATTGCTAGCACAATTGCTATAGTGCTATCTGTTAGTTTTAACGTCACCTAATGTTATGGAAGGGCATAGATGTTATGGAAAATAGTAATAGTAATGTAACTACCCTCATTATTCCTTCCTCAAGCAAATGTGTAAATATTAGATCTATTCAGAAATAACGTTAATTGGATTGGCATATTTGTCCGACGTTTTCCCAGCTTGTAATAGTCGATCAAAAAAGCTGTTTAGTTTCTTATGACTATACACTAGCAGCGGAGTTTACTGTGATGTGACGGTGCTTGATCATAATCAAGGGGCTTGATCAAAGGTTGATCATATTCTCTTCTAAAAAAAGAAGAGTATCTTTGTCAACAAAAAAATGATCACAGTTACAGCCAGCATCCCACAAAAAGCACTTCGAGCCTCATTTTGTGCATATCAAATCGCAAAATCCAAAAAGCCACACACCATATATTTTTGACTGCTTTGAATGGATACATTTTTTACCCATTTTTCCATATTAAAATATTATGGTGGGTCTTGAGATTGAATTACTTGCATAGGTGGGTCCCGGAATAAAAAAGTTTGGGAATCCCTGATTTAGTGTACAACCAACAAACCAACCTTTTTTCCATTTGGAAAATTTGTTATTCATATTTCTTATATAGAATCGTTTTTTTATTTAAAGCTTGACTTTTATAGTTACATCATTCAGTAAAACCAACAAAAAATTAAAAGCTGCTCTTTTCTAGGCTGATATAGTTGGGAATTGTACTCTCATTCTGGCGTAATAACCAAGGAAGACACCAAGACACTACGTATAAATAGTAATAGTTAAACTTTTTATTTATAAGTGAACTATATTAGTGGACTATTGTAGGGAATGAGGGCGGCATGGTGGCTCAGTGGTTAGCAGTCACCTCATAACAAGAAGGTTGCTGGTTCGAGTCCCGGCTGGGCCAGTTAGCGTTTCTGTGTGTTTGCATGTTCTCCTCGTGTTGGCGCGAGGAGCTAAATTAGCTAAAATAAGCTAAATTGGCCATAGTGAATTGAGTGTTTGTGTGAACGGGAAAGTGTATGGGTGTTTCCTAGGGATGGCTGACGTGAAACTGACGTTTCGACACAGTGTCGAGATCCCGAAGCGCAAGTGTTTGAAACACTGCACCGAAGCATGATCCGAAGCACCCAAGTCACGTGACTAAAGTGTTTCGAAACACTTAGTCACGTGACTAAAGCGATTCAAAACATTGATCACCTTAGAAGCGTTTCGAGACCTGGCAAATCTCCATTTGACTGCCAAGGTCAAGAAAATCCCATTTCATATGGCCTAGTGGACTGTGCATGTGCACGATGATGATATGCATTAAATGACTTTTTGGGTTCGAATCCCGACTTCTACAAATACTCCGAAATCATGGTTTTATGTGTTTTTATTATGTTTCTGTTTTGTGTAGCCTTAATATAATACTGCTGCAGTTACGCCATCAATTTAGCATCATTTTTGTAACACTGTAAAACAATAATTAATATTTTTACAGTACTGTGATAGTTTGGTTTAGGGTTTGGGTAGACGTTAATAAAATACAATAAATTTTATGAATAATATAAATAATTCTTGATAACTTCAGGCCACAGTTTCTGATCTAGCAACAACCCTGTTTTAAGACCAAAACAAGACATATTTATTAACAAATTGTTTATTCGGATATCAGACCAATGTTGAAACAAAACGTTTCAAGAGCAAAGCATTACCAACTGGTATTAAAGCATTTCATAATAGCTGCAATTGCCTGGCTTCGAACCCGCCATCCCCAAACGCTAGTCAGTCACCTTAGCCGCTGCGCTACATTGATTGAAGCTAAATTCTACAAAGTGGGCTTTAATACCTCAATTAGCTCAACTGTTATGTGCTGCAGCTGTTTCAGTGCAATACATAAAAAAATGACCACTAGGTGTCACTGTAGAGTAGGGTTTCGAAATGTTTCGAAGCTTCGACACATTTGCTTCGACTGTTTCAGTGTTTCATGAAGCCTCGCTTTGCCCACCACTAGTGTTTCCCAGTACTGGAAGGGCATCCGCTGTGTAAAACATATGCTGGAATAGTTGGCGGTTTATTCCGCTGTGGCAACCCCTGATAAATAAGAGACTAAGCCGAAGGAAAATGAATGAATGAAAGTAGGGAATTGAAAATGAAGGGATAGGGACCGATTTTGGATACAGCCTAAGATATAACATGAAATCAGACATTTTGTAATTTGAATGTGTTTCTGTTTAGAAGCGGAACATTTCACACAAGAGCCAGTTCAAGAACCAGGCCCAAGTATGCCTTTTTTAATATTTCCACATATATAAATCTAATCATGTTAACAGCTTAATCATCATCATTGTATGCATCTGTCTAAGGTACAGCTGTTGCAGAGACTGTCGGGACCTTGGATGGACAGCTTGAGGACGTTTTTGGGATCCTAAAAAAGAAGCTAAACGAGGACGCAAGTTTCACACCATCTATTAGAGCTTTTGTGTCGAATTTCTATCAGTTGAAGAATGACAGCGCCTTGCAGTCGTCGCTCTTTTGCTTTGGTAAAGTTGCCGAGATAATCAGCCAGATCAGCGTACAACCGGCCGCAGGGCCACGAAAGAAGGGGGCTGGACGTAGAGCTGTTGGCAGACCCCCAAAGAACTCAAGGAGAGAGCATCCGTACTGCAACAGCAGAACCGAGGACGCTCCGCCAACACTCACGTTCTGTTTGCAAGAAACAAACACCCTCGAGAAGACAGATGAACCACAGACAGCAGCTTCTGGTGGGTGTACAGATCCAATCACTGTCGCTCTACAAGGAACACTAGAGACAAACAGTTGAGTTGAAGTAGTTTTGAATCCATTCAATCGCTGGGTCTGGCGAGAGCCCTTTTAGCTTAGTGCAAGTCATTAAATTGGATTAAACCATTAGTAAAAAAAAAAAAAGTCACACTTTATTTTGATGGTCCGTTTGTTGAATTTAAGTTATATTGCATCTACACGCCAACTAATGCTCAATAGACTATAAGTAGACTGTTAGGTTGGGGTTAGGGTTAGTGTAAGTAGTGTACATTTCGGTAACACTTTATAATAACTACACACTATAAATCATTTATTAAGCATTAGCAAATAGTGAATTCATTATCTGTAAAGCATCAACTCTACATTAATAAACGTTAGTAAGCAGTTTATAACTTCAGCTACAAATGCTCCATTCTTGACTTATAAGCACCTATATAATGTGTTTAATGATTGTATTTTCATACTTAGTTAATGATTTATTTTTCATTACTAAATTAAGTATCGAATTATTTACAAACTGTTTTTATTTAAGAGTAGTTGAGGGTTTTTAGGATCATTCAGAATGAGTTAGTAAATGATTAATAAACTATTGAAATCAACATTTATATTGTTAAATCAATACAATGATTTATGCTAAGCTAAGCTAAAAGTGCTCCTGCCAGACCTGGAGATCGACTGAATGGATTCATATATGTTAAAACTGTATATGGAATGTGTAAAAATAAGTCTATTTCCAGTGTTGCTTTAAGAAATCGCAGCATTCAAATCAAAAGGTGCCCCATTAGCTTTATATTTCTGGTCTTACTGCACACAACTCAACAGCGCATGTTGTTGTACACGCGAAAATGATCCAAACATAACCACCTGCTGTCTCCGTTCAGGTACGCAGTCAGTTCACAGTACATAAAATCAAGGTTTTTGTCTTAATGAGGATTTTACCCTGCAGTGTCTCATTATGGAAGTAAAGTATGCTGTTTATTGTGATTTAACATGTTTTTTAAGCACATAATGTTACTGTTAACATTTTATTAAAGTGGCTTCTGATGTTCAGAGCAATGCGATGCGAATGAGCATTACTATTTAATCTTTTTATTTCTCACCCATGCTTTATTCAGATCCAATAATCTGTGGGGTTTGGTTAAAATTATTACTTTTTGGCAAAACATGGCTAAACTATCATGACGGTTCCTGTTTATGCATGTTAAAAAAAAAGATTGTGCATTATTATTTGCAACATGCAAACAGCTTGTGCCATTTTCTCCAGAAAGCACTATAATGTCTTTAATTATAGATTTAAAACTGACCTTTGTATAAGTACACTCAATAAACCACGGATGATCATGCATATGGGATTAAAATCCTTTTGTTTAACAGTTATTATGCCGTACACCTTTTATGAATAGTCATTTATGAAATTCATCACAAGTTGGGAACTTTATCTATTTAATGCATGCTAGTTTATAAAATGTTCAGTTCACTCGAAAATATTTAAAACCAGTAAACATTTGGCTGCGTCCGAAACCGCCTACTACTCAGTAGGTACTGCATTTGAATTTAGACATACTACTCGGCCGTACGTTCTATACAGTATGAATGTAAAGTATGAATGGAATCAAAGAGCATAGAATCACCAAAAGGCGACACTCTAGTGCGATTTAGGTAAACAGCCACTAGATGGCGCGGCGGCCATTTTGGAATGAAAACTTTTTTTTTTTTTTAATAACTTTATTGAACAAAGTAAACAATACAACTATAAATGGCCTGGTACAAAATACTAATCTTCTTAATCAGACAGCAGACAAGCATCATAAACAAAACATAATAACGAGATAAAAAAATAATTAAATAAATAAAAAAACAAAAGGCAACAACATCAAGGGGTTTTCAGCAAATTCAAGTTGTTCTATTAAATCACAGAGAACTACAGCATTCTTTTTCCTCATTTGCTTAAGTGATAGAAAATAAAGACATAGTTCCTTGTGAAAAACATAAAATTTGGGAGAAATTTTTAAGAACCTATTCTTATGTGAAATAAAATTCCCAAGAATAATAATGGTGTTAATTGCTAAATCATGTGTTTCCTCTTTCAAAAATAAACCAAACAGTACATTTTCTTTTGTTAAAGCATTTAAATAATAGATTTAAATAAATAAATAAAAGCATTTAAATTTAGAGAAATAACCAATAATTCAATTTGATAATTGATCATTTCAATTTGATCATCACAAAAGGAACAATTGTTTTCATCAAAACCAAATCGACGTCTCAAAAATTCTTTAGAAGGAGACTCCACTTAGAATTTTAAAATGGACTTCCTTTACTTTTGGTGCTACTGGAAACTTTAAATATTTAGTTCTAAGCAATTGAATTTTTTCCTTAGAGAAATAACAAAATAATACCTTTTTATTTGAATGAAAGGGATATAGTTCTTTAATAAAACTATTTCGGATTACAGTATTGGATAAGTGTATATCGATAACTGAAACTCCATCCACCAAAAGCTGAGGAAGGCAAGGTGTTATATTATTTTGAGATAGATTACCAGACATCTGAAATATAGATTGTGGGATAGCTTTAATAATATTATCATATTGTTTTCTGTCAAATAAATGAAATTTAGAACTAGACGTTTCAAAAGACATTACTCTGGAATGAAAACTCCAATAGAACAACAGCATGTTATTAATCTGTAAAATAAGCTATAGGGTATACGCCGAGCTAGTGTTGTTCCCATGCTGATACGCTTCCGGTGACCTGTTATTGTGAACTTTTTCTCATTTTATACGGTTCCTTATACAGCATCGATGTTGTAATGTCATTAAAATACATTCAGTTAAATAAACTTTAGCATTTATTTAGTTGCTCAAGCATAAAACAAGACAAAAAGCCGTTTACTCGCACGTCCCCGTCAGAATCGGCAGCCTAACGCAGAAGCTCCATTGAATATACTGGGGTAAAATAAATGCTCATATTATAAAGATATGGTGGGGGAATGTAATTTAATGCAGTGCTTCTTGTACAATCTGAGACCCACTTTAAATCGAATACCACTCAGCCAGTGGAGATCGCTGAATTTTGAAGAAAACAGACCTTAAACACACCGGATTTTGCATTGGCATTCAATTCACCGGAAGCGCTTAACCCAGGTTACTGGCAAATTAAAAGTCCTATTAGCATGCTTCGGCATATACCCCCATTATAAGTGCTGATGATTGTAATAGTAAGTGTCTTTTGTCGTCTTTCAGGTTGTATCTCAGCTCTATTGTGCTTTTTAAATAAAAAAATAAAAAGCAGCTGCTGGCCATCGCCACAGCAATAAGATCAAATGGACAGCCGATCGCTTTCACTCCAAAATGGCGGAATCCAGGGCTGTTGCTGGGCGCTGCTGTTGCACTGGAACGTTCTATTGAGTGTCGCCTCTTGGCCATTCTAAGCTCTTTGATGGAATTCAGACAAACTACATCCGTCATTTTGTCATCTGCGTTGCTCCACTCCCATTTATGAAAATGTCTCACTTGGCATCATGGAGTAGCGCAGCATGCACGGGATGCGCACTTCACTTTTCACTACACATGTTCGAATCCTGTTAAAGACATGTAAATTCTAATTATTTTTTTATTTACTTTGGTTATATACTGTTCTGCTACACAGATATTAAAATCAATAATGCTCACAATGACACTGACACCAACTAATAAGAATCTTTATTTGGTATGGACAGGTTTTGTTGCTGTGAAAAAGTGACGAATCTGCCAATCTGCAAACCTGAATAGCTTACATCTGGAAAGGGACACCAGTTAACACGGTCACCAGTTAAACCGTAACACCGGAATAACACACGCGGCTTTCTGACGCTACCTGCCGTGTGCATCTAAGTTTCCGGGAAATGCTGAGTTTTTTTTTTCTCTCATTCGCCGTGCGGTATCAAACATTGCATGAAAAATACACGCTTGCAGCAGCTCCTCGAATCAAATATCTCGTTTGTCGCGAGGGGCATGAATGAATTCCCTGAATGAAAGAGCCAAACTGCAGTTAAAATCCAACATTTAATAATTCAGCAAATAATTCGACTACAGATGTCCATGTAGGTTAAACACCATCACTTTCTCATGTCTGTGTGGGTGTGTATTTTGACTCTGGAACTCGCGCGTGCACAAATAGACAATCCCACACCATCCCACTTTAGTTCCTCCGACACTCCCCCCTAAACAGAGCTGGACACGCCCACTTTTCTGACTTTTTCCAAAGTAGAGCTGTGAAAACACCCTGCTGAAACGAGGGGGTTTCATGGCCCTTTAACGGAAGTTGTAAGTCATCCGGGTACTTCTCGCATACTGATTTTCGAGTTCTATGAATTCAGACATACTACTCGACTCGCATACTGATTTTAACGTACTGTATAGTATATAAGTATGCGATTTCGGACGCAGCCATTGACTTCTGTCTACTTGTTTGTCCATGTAAGTCATTACCGGTTTAGAGCTTGGAATGTGTCAAATTGTCAATAATTATATCCAGGTGTTTGACAAATCCACGAACAAAGAAGAAACTCCAGGCTTGGATCAAATCGAAGGTGAGTAAACGGATGGAATAAAAAGAAATACAAAATCTTCTGACTCAATTCATTTTCCAGGCCACATTTTTTTTATTGAAATAACAGGGTTCATACGATCATGGAAAACCTGGAAAAGGCATGACATTTTGACATGGCATTTTCCAGGCCTGGAAAAGTTTTGATAAACAGAAAAACCCACAACGTTTTGGAAAAGTCATGAAAATTAGTTTAGCAAGTATCTGACATTACCATATTTTGTATTTCTGTGATGTATATTGCGATGTGAATACAATTTCACCAGATGATTTAACAGGTTTATTTGGATTGATTAGGGAGATTTTGTCGAGGAGTGAATCTCAGATAATATTTAACAAATAAATTACAAGCATAGATAAATAAAATTTAGTAAAGATGAAAGTGAATTATAGTTTTCAGGTATTCACTATTCTGGTAAAGATATTGAATAATCAACACTGCGTAGTCTTTATATTATTTAATCTTTATAAAAGAGGATACAGAACACATTACAAAGTCCTTGTTGCAAAGGAAGATTATAAAGGGTACTTAACTGGCCTGCTTGCAGTCCCGACCTGGCTCCAATAGAGAATGTGGTGCATTTTAAAGCACAAAATGTGACTGCGAAGACCTACTGTTGCCCATCTTAAGACTTGTTTGCAGGAATAATAGGAGACAATTACCCCTGAAACACTTCATCACTTGATGTCTGAAACATCTTTTAAGTGTTGTGAAAAGGATCTGCAACATTACAAAGTGGTAAACGCTTTCCTGTTTCTTTACTGTTTTTTTTTTTTTTTTTTTTTAAAGTGTTGCAAGAACCAAAATTGGAATACAGGTTTATCTTGAAACAAAAACACAATAAAAATCATGAGAATCACCTTAATAAAAAAATGTTAATTGTATTGTCTGCAATAAAAAACAAGTCAAAGTAAGTTTAGAAATCACTACTTTGCATTTTCCATACCATCCCACCTTTTTCTGATTTGAGGTTGTACGTTAACTTAGCACATTTTTACATATATATTTCATGTATTTTTATGCCTTAATGGAGTAAATAAACTTCCACGCAAGGACAGGCGGGAACCCAGTAATTGACAAAATTCCATCAGACTCTCTGAAAATAACGAAAATCCATCCTGACGACCTTTTTTCCAGTCTATTATAGCAACGGAGAACTTTAATCCATGTAAATGAGGACTGAATCTACTTTGAGGCGAGCTGTCCTTTCCCCCGCATCCTGCACAATTTTTGTTTCATACTCACCTGTAGAAAACTAAAGTGAATCTCTGGTTATCCACAGGTTTTTATATTATCCAAGAAAGATTCATTTAAATATGAATGTATTTTCCCTTTTAGAAACTGGCCAAAAATCGTTTCCACTCATTTGAACTTCAAGTGTAAAAATATTTTAATTAAATATTGGACTTCAAAACCCCAGCAGAGTGAATGGGTTACACATAGGTAAGCTCAGGATGTGACAGTCATAACAATGAGAGTTTGAATACAAACATACTGAATTCCCTGGTTAATTAGATTTTATTGACAGGTTTGTGATGCATAAATGTAGTCAAAGTACGGTCTCTGTCCTGAAGTCTGATCATATCTTTCCTGGATCCTCCTTGAGTGTAACAGTCCTGTTGAACACCAGCTGGAGAACAAAACAAAACAAAAACAGTATACAAGTTAAACTCAATGTCATGTTCATTTGTTTATTCACCGCCGATGAGCGGGCGCTGCCATTTGAATCTTTTTGGCTCGAGACTTCTGGTCTCATTCACTTCCATTCATTTTTTGACGTTAAAAACTGCTCGTTACGCTGCTTGATGTTGCAATTTGATATTTTATTATTATATTATTCTACTTGGTCTGTGTAGTCATGCAAAAATTTGTTTGTAGAGCAAGTAGTTTGACCGTTTTCTGCCGTTTATTATCCCTAGTCATTTCTCCCATAGGCGACTGAATCGGAAGTTCTAAGACAATCGCGAAAACAGTCGCACTTCCACATTTTAGAATAAGGTCAATAAGCTGGGATATTATAAGCATTGGTCTTCATTCAACAACGAATCGGAGCGTGACGTAGCAAGTAAACAATTCAAGCAGGGTTTCAACTAACGATTATTTTGATGGCCAATTAATCGGATAAAAGCATAACTTACTCCCTGGGCATTTATATCGAAGTTGATATTTTAGACGCATAATGGTGTTTCATAACATCTAGCTTTTATGGGGTGGGTTGTTGCCTGGAGGACCAGGATATGCACACATTCACTAAGGACAATTTAGCTTACACAATTCACCTATAGCGCATGTCTTTGGACTGTGGGGGAAACCGGAGCACCTGGAGGAAACCCACGCGAACACGGTTAGAACATACAAACTCCACATAGAATTGCCAGAATGGCCCGGCTGAGGCTCAAACCAGCGACCTTCTTGCTGTGAGGCGATGCTGTCAACCACTGCAACACTGTTTCGCCCCTAAAAGCATAACACTTTTTCTTTTTATTTGGCATTTTGTTTAAATCAGGGTATTATTTATAAAAGTATACTTTAATAAAGTCGATACGTGGCTTTTGTATTTCATTTATCTTTACTTGTGACGTTTTAAACCTTAAATGAAAAACATTGTTTCATATCGCACAGTAAAACTTCTCTAAATATTTAAAATAGAAGTAAACAAAAAGCAAAACAAGTGTTGTACTCCTGTTATAGTCACATCATTAAATTAGGACATAAACATCATGAAAATGGACACATTTCTGTGTTTTAGAGTAGCAAAAGTCAGCAAATTAGGGTAAACTTATAGCGTAGTAAATGGGGGAATACAACAAACCTTTTTTTATAATGCTATTTGCTGAAATAATAATGAAAAAACAAAACTCCACAATGGTGTAATCAAGACTTTAAATTTGATTTGGGTGCGCGTGACATGATTTTGGCTGGCGGCGCGCATGATTTGTTTTGTGATTTGAGCGAACAGTGCTGTGTTGTACTGCAGTGCGTGTGAGTTGAGTTGAATATGAAACACTGCAGACATCTTTATGATCCGTGATCATAGAGATAATCAGATGATCAATAATTCTTGGCTAGAAATTGCAACAGCCGTGGGAAAGGAGGAAAGTTTTTGTTAAAAGGTTTGGAGGGTTAAGTTTGTTAAAGCCAAAAGAGGCCATGGCAAAAGTGGAGACCCAAAAGTGGAATTTTTTTTTCTTTATTAAATATTTTCCAAATGATGTTTAATAGAGAAAGTAAATCACAGCATGTCTGATACTATTTTTTCTTCTGGAGAAAGTCTTATTTGTTTTATTTTGGCTAGAATAAAAGCAGTTTTTAATTTTTTAAAAACTATTTTAAGGTAAAAATTATTAGCTCTTTTAAGCTATATATTTTTTCAATGGTCTACAGAACAAACCAATCTAATACAATAACTTGCCTAATTACCCTAACCTGCCTAGTTAACCTAATTAACCTAGTTAAGCCTTTAAATGCCACTTTAAGATGTATAGAAGTGTCTTAAAAATATCTAATCAAATATTACTTACTGTCATCATAGCAAAGATTAAATAAATTATCATTAAATTATTAAATAAATAATAATAAAATTATTATTAAATAAATAATAATAAAATTATTATTAAATAAATAAATTATTAGAGATGAGTTATTAAACTATTATGTTTAGAAATATGTTGAAAAAATCTATTTTAAACAGAAATTGGGGGAAAAATAAACAGGGAGGCGAATAATTCTGACTTTAACTGTATATATTACAATTTGAATTTGTTGAAATTAAAAAATTATAGATATTAAATAAGCAAATATTTCTTTTTGAAACAGAGGTAGAAGAAGAGGTTAACTTTGACTCCACGAATGCAACATTATTAGCCTTCTGTAAAAACCACAAGACTGACTAATTGTAATATTCTACTGCTGCTGTTGTTTGCTGATTTTAAATATGGGCTCTCACCTCATTTGCACCAATTAATTTAAGCTAATCTAAAGCTAAAGAGGTTAAAATATTGGTAATTATCAATATTATACATTAGTTGTTGCAGCCGTAAATTCAAGTCAAGGAGGAACACAATTTTGCTATATTTCTTAAATATTTGCAAACCACATGGAGATTATCAGACATATTTGGTGGTGGTGGTGGTGACAATTACTGTGATAATGGTATCAAACGCTGCTTTATTTATGATTTGCTTGCTTATGTCGGAAGTTCTGGTTTCCCATTGTGAATGAGACAACAGATAAAATCCATTTTTCCATGCAGGCAAAGGACCCTCTCTTTTGTTACATTTGGCTGCTGTCTGTTTGGGGTGTTCATGGGCAGCTTTTCGGTTCAGACAAGATCAGACCCAATTCATTGCAAGATGACAACATAGTTTTGTCTGCACTAGCTGTTTGGCGTTGGCTTGGTGTGTACCGGCCTTAAAATAACAGAAGGTTTCTGCAAATACCTTTTCGGGTGTGCTGTCAGCATCCACTGAAAAGTAGCCCACTCTCTCAAACTGGAACTTGTCAAACACTTTGGCTTTGCCCACAGAGCGGTCCACTAAGGCACTTTCGATAACTGTTAAGGAATTCTGAAAATGACAAAGACAATTAATGATCATTACAACTTCCATTCATTTGCTCAAAATAATATAACCAATATGACTAATGATATTAACACCTTTTTTTTTCAGTGTTCATACTACATGCTACATAAACTCTCTCTAATACTACAGTAATAACAGGCAATTATGCACAATTACACGCAACTAAGAAGAACAAGAAATTAAAGGGATAGTTCACACAATTTTTTTTAATTTACTCACTTTTGAGTTTCTTTGTTCTGTTAAACAGATATTTTGAAGAAAGCTGAAAACATTGACTTCCATAGTAGAACAACAAACACTAATGAAGACAATGGTTACACATTTCCAACGTTTTTCAAAGTATTTTCTTTTGTGTTCAACTGACGATCATAGCTCAATGGTCTAAAACAAGATTTTGAATTTTCAGACTGCAAAAAAGATCATAAGGGTCTTTTGTTTTAAAAAAGATTGAGATTATACATGATACAACTATTTAAATATCTGGGGTACATATTTAAATATATTTTTGAGGCTTCAACAAATCTAAATATAGGAAGAATACAATGAAAGAAGTTGTGCAAATTAAGATCTTGATTTTGAGCAATGCATATTTCTTAAAGTTCATCAATTACAGATAGAAAAAAAATGAACAAAACGTCTTGATGAACATTTCTGGCATGAAATAACTTTTTCCCCCCACATATTCTCTTGTTTTTTTATACATACTAATCAAACAGGAGGTCACAAAGTCCATCATTTTAAATAATTTGTAAAACACAAAACACCAATGACAGAGTATCCGCGGGGTGTTAAAAGCATTGAAAAGTCTTAAATTTGATAATCTCTTTGATAATAGCCTTGAATTTGGTATACAGATTCTTGGATTTTGTTCCAAATGTCTTATTTTACTCATTTATTTTTGCTTTTCCTAGAATTAGGTTATAATACCATAACAAAATGAACTGTTACTAATGTAGGCAAATTAAAAATTCCTGCAGCGTAACGTTGAGTGCATCTCGCGCTCCACATCACAACAGAAAGCGCAAAAGTGTGCGCACCTGTTATTATGGTTACTAGTCAAGTGAGGTACTGAACAAGATAGTCGCTAGCCTAGTTTGTTGGCTAAAATGGGAAAAGTGTCGGTTTAATCCGCTATGACCAAGGAATCCCAATTACATTTAGGTCAAAACTGTGCCAGGAAATAACCACGACGCCTACTGCTGTTGGTGCTGGAAATCTTTTAAGCTGGCGGCGATGGGTGTTACAACCCTGGACTCCCATACGAGGGGTGCCAAACACACCGCATGAAGTACTGCTCGTCAGCGCCAACCACCTATTGTGCGGTTCTGTGCACCAAAGACCTCTTTGGTTACTAAAACAGCGTTGGCTATTAGTAATGATGAAATTTCCACATTAAGCATTGTGCCACCACAGCCAAGGAACATCCTATTTGTGGCTCAACACCAACTCTGCAGGCAGAGGTGACGTGGGTCCTTAAAACAGTCTCTGAGCACCACTCTTATGCTGTGTTCACACCAGACGCGGAACACGCGGATAAATCGCGCTATTCGTGCGTAAACAGACGCGTGAACATTTGAGTTTACTTGCTGCATTCGCGCATAAAATCTGCTTCATTCGCGCGTCAAATTCACTTCAGAACAGACGCGGATTTGCGTCATGGGCAGAGCATCTGTCTGCCGGTGACTGTAGCATCGTTGCTAAATGGCTTACCTGGATTTTACTAAAAGAATACCTGTGTTTATGTGCTTTATAAAGGCTAAAAAAACAGCACTGATTCATTTGGAGCTGTGTCTGAGTCCACTAGATCCTTTCAGAGGTGCACCCAGCTCTGTGAGCTCATAAACTCCTCCAGAAACTTAACCTGGATGATGGAGGCTTTCAGCAGTGCTTCTGATTGAGTCGAGCCCAATTGTTGTCAGTGGGTGCAGGAGGATTTTCCCCTGGGACACCAACAACAGGCGCTATGTCATAATCACGCCCCCACAGGAGCAAGCTCTTGATTGGTTAACGCGGCGTGAATGTCTGCTGGAGTTCAG